TACAGTGGTACCTTAAAAATACAGAAATAGTAGTTTCACGTTGAAATCATGGCCAGTAGCTAGTTGACACATTTATATTTTACTTGAATAAGCTGAGCTGCTGAATCAGTAAGACACTCATGTGCAAAGCATAGTAAACTAATTTTTCTATCACAGTTTTCCTTGAAATTAACATTATCACAAAATAAACATAAAATACAATATAGCACTTAATCACTTTTTAAAATTAATCTCCAACAGAAAAAAAATAACTATAATAAGATTTTAGCAGTGCTGTACTTCATGACAGCACCAGTTTTCTCAGCACAAGAACTGCACTGGGTAAAAAAGTTGTTATAAATGTGGTGGCACTATTTTTGTAAATCCTGTACAGTTTATGATCTGTCCAGCTCTGTTTATGGCATTTGTCATATCATACCATTTGTTCAAAAGAAGAATAAGTTTCCTCATTTCACTAATGATGGATGTTTCAAATTTAATACTAAACATCCAGAAGCTTGCCTTGCCTATCAGGATGAAAATTGGGGTTTTCAATCAAAACAGGGTCAGGAGAGTAAATGAACAATTTTCTAGGAAAAAGAACATATCCCTTTGTGCATTTTATGTTTAAAGACATTAGGAGTAGCCTGAACATGTAGGAGCTTCTTGTACATTTACAGTACTGAATCCAACAAAGCTGAAGGAAACTAATCACTCTGACCTGCTTTTCTGGGAATACAAGGTCTCAGAATGAAATCTACCATTCCTCTGGAGAGAAGATCCATGCACATGGCAAAGAAAGCAAGCTGGTGCCAAATTCTTGTCTTCTGACTTTGTTATAATAAAAGTTCACATGGCACTTCAAAAGTTGTGCTTAATCCAGAATACAATTTTGCTTAAAGCAATGAATTACATTTTAGGACAGGGTGTTTCCAAAGAATAATTGTTGTTCCAACAATCTGCAGCAGGGACCTTTGCAATCCGGCTGCTGTGAGGAGATGTGCAGCATGATTCAAAAGCAAAAAGCTGTACAGTTACAGTTCACCAGCTAAAAGCCTATTTCCTTGCCTCCTCTGTGTTGATTTTTTTTTCCCCAAAACCAAACCACAACCTAAACAAAACCCTAAAGCAGTAACAAGCAAACAGCGTTGAGTTTTTCATCTGAGGATGTATCCCAGTGGGAGGATTTAGACGGGGCAGCTGCAATGCCTGTGTGGTGGCACTGCACTCCCTGGCTGTTTGTTACAGCCTCAGACCACGGCTAACCCAGAGCTCCTCTCCGAGGTGTCAGGCTCAATGATGTCACATTTTGCAGTGGAACAAACAGAACATGGTATGGATGGAATACTGCAGAGCTTGCAGACATCCTTCCAGAAATGTTTATGCCTTAATCTGCTGGAATTCACCATAAAATGGCTTGTAAAGGCAATATGCTATCTAAGCAGCCTCTCCAGTTCTAGGAAACAGATGCAAAACAACTGCTCCTAGAATGGAAAAAAAGGGTAAGGTAAGACTTAATTATGTTTTGACTGAACACAACCAAAAAAAAAAAAAAAAAAAAAGAATCAGAGGAAAACAATCTTGACCCAAAAGGAGCTGCAAAAGCAAATGCTGAAGCACATGGGTCTGAGGCTGGGTGGGGAAAGGGGCTGTTAGAAATTTTGATTTTATGTTTGTAGAAGGCTGTTGTTTAATCTCTGCCCTAAGAGCTGATCAATGGTCTAACAGATGAAAAATTGTTTCTCTTCAGGGGCTTGTTCTTTTAAAACGAGAATTTTAAGTGCACAGTGTTCTGACCTAAAATATTTCAATTCTAGTCTGAATTCCTATGCCAGCGGGGATTATGAGATCATGCTGTCTGTCAACTCCTCTTTCGTCCATCTGTTCCCCTCCTCCTTTTCTTGATAACTTCTGAACCTTCTGGCTAATTTTCATCAAATTTAACAAAGCAGAGATAGAATGGAGCCTGCAATTAATAATCCATGATGAAAACTTTCACGGAAATTCCATGTCTAGGTAGAAAGAAAAATAAATTATTTCTTGCATTGAACATGGCCAAATTGAGCTCTTCCCTGTTTTCAAGAGGTGGCCACTGGCCAGCACGGACGTAGCTCCAAACCTGCTACAGAATGAGACGTAGTGCTGCTTTCCCAGGTGAACAGATGGGATATGGGCTTTGGGAAAGGCCACAAGGCAGGGGGGACATCATAGCTGTGTGAGTCTGGAAAGAGGGAGAGGAAGTCACACAGGGAACCAAAGGCATGAGTCGCAGCAATCCAGGAGACAACTTGATAGACAAAAGACAGGCAAACTTTTATCAGATGTATTTGTGGACTTCATTGGCAGAGCTGCCTTTGGACAGCGGAATTTTAGGAATTTTTCAGGGTGTTCAATATTTGCTTTTATGCAGACATTTTTTTTTACATGAGTTACACTGATGTTTATTTAAAAAAAAACAAACACCAAACCCCCAAACCACAACACTGTGAAGCACAAGTCTGCAAAATACCAAGGTAGGAGAAGTTCATTTCGGTGCAAGTAACTGACTGAACTGAAAGAGCAGGGCATTATGAAATAAGCTGGTGAATGCTTTTGTTCCTTCCCTGTTGGACAGACACAATGCACTCTATCTGCAAGATGATTTGAAAACTTCAGCCAGCCCAAATTGCAGCTGCAGATCAGACTGTAATCTGATGGGGAGGAATTCAACACTTCAGTTCTTTTTGCCCATGAGAACTCACTGCCAGGTCAGGGTTTCGTCTAAAAATGTCTTGCACAGGCCACGTTATACCAGAAACCAACATTCTGCACTTTGCAAGCGATATAGGTGCTGATTTTGATAAAAAAAGCCTAACGTGAGCTTGCCTTAGCTGTGCTAAGCTGCAAGGTTGCTCATTTCCCTGTGTTGGTTCACTTCAACAATTGCATTAAGTGAGATTAGAGAAGCTGCACATTTAGGACAAGTAGTGGGAGGGCTCAACCACCCACATACAGGCTGGGTCAGTGCTTCATCAGGGTGAAATGTAGAGATAACACTTCTGGATACAATAAATTATTTCCTTTTAGAATATCTGGCCCTATGAACCACAACAAAAAGAAATGCCATTCTGAATTTAGTCTTCAGCAGTGCAGAGGATCTAATTGAAGATCCTCTATTAGTGGGTGAGCTGCTCAATAGTAGCAACCACAGTATAATTAAACTTAACACTAAGATGAATGCAAGACAAATAAAGCAAACAGATACTCAATTTTAAGAAAATGACTTATGCAAAAATGGGGAAAAATGCCAAAAAACCCCTAAATGAGCAGTTCCAAACCAAGAAGCCTGCAAACATCCATAAGGCTTAAAAATACAGTTCTAGAAGCCAAGGTAAAATGTCTGACATAAATAGAAAAACATGGCATGAACCTCCCCCCACCTTGTATGACTCAATGGGAAATTTAAGGAGGCTATTGCAAGGCACATGGGGAAGCCCAGGGAAATGTGGCATGCGGAATTTTTTAAAGAGGAAGTGAAGATGGCTAAACTCGAGGAGTGGCTGATAAAGGATGCTCAGAGTGTTAGTGACAAGTTTGCATGACGCTGGTTTGAGAACCAGCCTTTGCCATGCAGAGGTGCCGCAATCTGGTGAGAGCTTTGTGGTAACTTCAGGGGCAGCAGCAGCCAAAAAGCCAAGAAAACAGGGAGCATTTGAAGGAAGGAACTGGAAATGAGAATTCCATAGAAAACCTTGGTACACCCATGGCCTGAGGGCTCTGTGCAGTCTGGTCTCTGCACCCTGAGCAAGGCACAGCGATGCTGTAAAAGGTTCAGAGGGAGATGTTGGGAACAATGTGGGGAATGGAGCACTGGCTCTACAGAGGCCAAATTTTGGGACTCCAAAATTCTCCAAACTGGAGAGGACAAAGCTGAAGGAAAATGCTCTGGGGGTTTGTAAATTGCCATGAATACCACGGGTAAGGTACATGCAGAGGTGGCAGTGACCAAATCCTGAAACGCTAGTACCAGGAATCATTTGATGGGTTTTAGAGAGACCTACAAAACAATTAGGGACTTTTCAAGCAGCACTTAATGATGTTCTGGGATTTTGCCTTGTGAAGTTATGTGTCAGCATGTTCAAAAAGGCACCAAGCAGATCCAGGGACATACAGCCCATTACCGAAAGGACTAAGCGGGGATGAAAACCAGCAACACTGGGCACGGATGTTGAAGTGCCCGCCGCTAGCCATGTCTGGGCTTCAATGAAGCTGAAGGGCACAGCGGTCAAAGCTGAACGACATCAATTGCGCTCAGGTCTGCCCCATCCTCCCCTTCCGGTGTGCTAGGCATGGGAAAGGGCGAGCAAGGGCCGCGGGGAGCTGCAGGGACGGGCCTGAGGGAGGCTGAGGGACCGGAGCAAGCGCTCCCGCCCCGGCCGAGCGCCCTGAGGGGAACCGCGGCCCGGCCGTGGGAGCCCCGCCCACGCAACGTCACCGGCGAGCGGGCCCCGCGCGAGGCGGAACGCTGCGCGCGTGCGCGGGAGGCCCCGTGGGCGGAGCGGGCGCGCGCAAGCGCGGTGGGGGGGCAGGGCGGGGACTCCGCGCGCGCGGCGGGCGGTTCGAGCTGCGGGCGCTCCCCTGGACCTCCCCTCAGCCTTCCCGGAGCCTTCCCTCACCCCTCCCTCGGCCTCCCCGCCGCCGCCCCTTACCCTCCCTGAGCCTCCCCTCCGCCTTCCCGCTCCTTTCCCTCAGCCCTCCCTGAGGCTCCCTTCAGCCTTCCCGCCATTTCCCGCCTCGCTCCCCTCCCCTCGAGCCGCCGCTGCGGCGGAGCAGAGCTCTGGGGTGAGTATGGAGCGGTGCTGCGGGCTCGGGGCTCGCTCCCGGCGGGACGGGATCAGCCACCGCGCCCCCGCTCCCCTTCCCTCTCGTCCCGGCCGGGGTCTCCGTGTGGCTGCAGGCCGCGGCTGCCCCGGGGCGGGACGTGGCCCTTGAGGGCCCCACTTGTGCGGCGTGCCCGGGCATCGCGGGGGCTCCCTCAGGGCTCCAGAGCTGCTGTTTGTGGTGTTCGATGGCAGTGGCAGTGCCGCGGTGACCCGGCGTGCCCGCGCTCAGGGCTGTGTGTGGCCCCATTATATCACAGAATCAGTAAGGTTGGAAGGGACCTTTAGAGAGCATCCAATCCAGCCCTGCTGCAGGGGCACATGGAGCAGGTTACCCGGGAATGCGTCCACGTTGTTTTGGAATTTCTCCAGAGAGGGAGATTTCACGACTTCTCCGGGCAGCCTGTTCCAGTGCCCTGCCACCCTCAACGTAAAGGTCGAACTCATGTTAAAGTCAAACTTCTTGTGTTATAGTTTATGGCCATTACTCCTTGTCAGTGGGCACCACTGAAAAGAGTGTGGCAGCATCCTCTTGGCGCTTATATTTATGTTTTTTGAGGACAGCCCTTTTAAGCACGGAGGGCAGGGGAAGCTTGGAGTGCTGACATGAAACTCGTGCAACATTCTGTGTCACCTGCAGTCTCTGAGCTAAGTCAGACGCACGGGAGCTTTAGAGGAATGGCTTTACCTGGTTCAGTGCTCCAGGCAGGCAGAGTGGGGTTCTCAGGTGAAATGTATGTTTTAGAAACAAAATATTAAGTAATATCAAACTAAAAAAAAGTCCCTTAGTATTACCAGAGTATTACAGACAAGGCTTCCTGACTGTTGATAACTTATCCTATATCCTTTGCTGTCTGTTATGCACACTTTAGGATCCCAAAGCTGATTGTTTGTCTGCTAGGAAACAGAAAAGCAGCAAACTCCCTTTTCATGTAAGTTGTGATCGTTTTCACAAGAGTATTTTTACACTGTTTTTATTTTTAATTTTTTATAATCAATCAAAAATCTGCAGTTTTACATTGAGGTATTTATATGTTAAAGTATTTCTTGTTCCATTTTCAGAGGAAACTTTAAAACTAAAGTTTAGAAGGCAAGATTCTGCTTGCTGTTGAGGTAAAAAAAACCCTTATGGCAAAGATCTTGAAATGCAGTGTAACATCACAGTAGTTTTGTTTTTAGAACAAACTGAAAACCCTGATCATTTTGGAAGATTTAAAATAATTGTGGGTGGTTTTTTAATGAATATACAGAAAACCATGTGAGTAAAATCACTTTTGCAGGCCACTGAATTGCACAATATTAACACCTGTTGCTTTTAAATTCATGGTACTATACTGTTTCCATAATAAGTTTATGTGACTTAAGGAAAAACATAGGTGCTTACAATGATCTGGGATGTAATTGATGCAAAAAATATGTCCTGATTTGATCAACAAAATATATTAAGATATCTGAAATAGAAATTGGTTTCAAGTCTTTGAATAGCCACTTTAATCCAAAACAGGGTTTTGGTTGTTTTTGTTTTGTGATCTGACGCTTCTTTTTTCCTGCACAGACTTTTTATTAAAATACTGGATATTAATTTTAATGGCCAAAAAATTAAAGCTGGAATAATACCCCAGACTTTTTAATGTGTTTGGATCTTTTCTGCTTACAAAAATATTTTCATCATGAGCTATGGAAAGGATTTTGTGGAAACTCTTAAAAGAATTGGATATCCAGAGGCTGATGAGCTTAATGGAGAAGATTTTGACTGGATGTTTGAGTCTTCAGAAGACAAATCATTTTTGGAGTGGTTTTGTGGAAACATAAATGGGCAGAACATGGTATCTGAAGAAGAACTGCAAGATTTTGATAATCTTCTCCAGCGTGGTAAGGCTGTTTTGGAAGGAAATGCACTGGATGAAGTCCTTAAAACCTTGGAGCCTGTGGGTTCAACAAACAGTAGCCAAGAGGAGGACAGGGAAGAAGTGAAGAAATTAGAGGATGAACTTCAAACTCTTCAGAACTTAAAAAACCTTCAAATTCATCGGCATAACAAACTTCAGCTCTTGGTAACTACAAACAGCCACTTGTTACAAACATTCCAAAGCAGAGAGGAAGAAGCACGGAAGTATTGGAAAGAAGGACTGGAAGTGTTTACTGCAGCAAATAATAAGCTTGACAATGAACTGCAGTCTCTTATAGCTGCAGTGAAGGAATTTGCCTCTTTCTTCACTGCTTCAGATTCAGGACAAGGGTCAGATGCACATCCAATGTTTTTTTCCCAAATTTCTTTGGACAGATATTTGTCTGTGGAAGAACACAGCACTGCAGCACTTACATCACACTTAAAAAAGCTTTTTTATGAAGGTATTTCTAAATGTGCTGAAAATTCACATGAAGGCAGCTTTCAACTTGAAGATTTAATCAAGCAAATCCCTTTTGATGAGACTAATGAAGTTTGTGAAGAGAAGCAAGAGATAGCCAGGCTCCAGGCAGCATATATTTGTGGTCAGAACCAGCTAATTCAGCTGCAAGCTGAAGAGGAGGGCTTGAATTCAGCTATCAAGTGTGCAGAGAGCCTGCTGCAGTCCTTAGACAAGGTAAGGTAAAAGGGTGATACAAGATACTGGAGTTTTAGACAGACAGGCAAGTTCCACTGGATCTAGTGAAAGGAAGTACTGAGTTATTGTTATTTCAATAGTTTTTATGTAGTGAAGTTTCACTTTTATGAAGTTTTTGTCTTGCTCGCAAAACTGCTCTTGTGAAATATTTTCATTTTCCATAGAAGTTTTTCATTGTGGTATAGTACCTTTAATTCTACTTTCCAGCATTACTGCCTTTAAAATCTTAGATTTTTTAGTACTTTCTAGTTCAGTTTAACTTTGAATTTTCAAATTAGAGCCGGCTCTTTGTACAGTAAATGGAATCTTAGCTTTGGTTGTAATTTTGTGGTATCAGAGAGCCAATATGATAAATGTATTCCTGTTTATATTGCATAGCATAAGCTTAAAAAGTTTTAGTTCACTCACTCTGGCAAGTCAAGTATTTGTACCAAATAAATGAATCTGATAGTTGAAGCCCCAGAAGTCTTTCAACGAGTGAGTGACAGGCAGATGTGGTTAGTGGAATTTGTGAAGAAATCATAATGAAAGGTGTTTGCTTATGCCAGATGTGGAATAACTTGAGGCATCATGTCAGTCTGTATATTTTCATTTATGGCTGACTAGTATATAGGACTTGATTGATTAGGGTAATTTGAGAAAGATTGATTCTGCCAGCAGTGTTGGTATCTGACTGAATATAAAAAATTATGTTTTCTTGTGAGATTTCAGTTAGGCTTGCTTGAAGTGGGTGCTAGGTAAATGCAGCTCTTTTATTTTTAACTCAATAAACTGTTGTGTGACCCTGATAAAAAGAAATTACCTTTTACTGGAATATATTTATTATCTACTTTGTTCATCTGCATTTGCATTACTTTGTAAAATTCTGTAAAACTACTTGTGGAGTTCTTATTTAATTTTGTAGCTAAATGTAACATACATGAATCTTATATGAACTGAAGAAATGTTTGAGATGTGGCTTGGCAGGAACTGTGAAGAAATTCACAAATATTTTGTTTTATGCAGGATATTGGACAACAGGAAAACATTGATGCTCAAATATTTAGTTTAAGTGCTGAAATTTCAGCAATTAAACAAGACATAGCTCAGATAAATAGTGAAGAGCTGCTTCCCCTTCTTAAGAAGAGAGCACAACTTTTGACTGCACCAGTGGTGACAGAATACTTAGGTCACCAAATTGCTCGACAGAACTGTTATGCTGCAATTCAAGATAAAATAGGCAGGCATTTGATAAGGCAGAAAACATCATTTGAATTTATTCAGCTGGGCTGTGAAATGGAGATGAAGAAACACCAGGAGTTCAGCTGCCAGCTTGAGAATTTGGTAGAATCTCTGAAGCAAAGCACTGATGAGTTACAGCAGAGGCTACAGGTGATAGCTGAACGAACTGAGCAGGCAAAGCCAAGGAGCACTATTAGTCCAGAGGATGGTTTAGCTTGCAGGTAAGTATTATAGTCACTGTTGGACTTTCTTTGAAATAATACTGGTGAGATGAATGCTCAGGCAAGGTAAGCCTTGCCTGCTGCCAAGTTCTTACTTACTTACTGTAGTTAATTAGAGTTTTGAATTTTCAAGAACTGAAGATTTCAAGATGTGAAACTTGTTTCTTCCATGTCCTTTGAAATTCTTTTCAGGTTTGCCTGAGGAAAAACTGTTCAATTATCAGTCTTTTTAATATTGCTGAAGCATTCCTAATTAATATCCATAACATGAAGAATGTTTAAACCCAAGCCTGTCTTACCTAGCACCTCCTGATACTCTAGAGGTGTAGATGTTGATAGCAGCGATTTCCCAGGCTGTGTGCACGGCCTCATCGGCTGAGCCCCCAAAAAACCCTCGTGTGGTAGGAGAGAGGAATGACTCCTTCGGACTCTGTCATGTGTTCAGCTCATTTTTACTGCTTGATTTGCCGTCTGGTTTGAGTGTCCTGGCACTCATGAAGGAGTCTGGTTTTTCACCATCTAAATAATTAAGTCTCCTTAAAGTTCAGCTGATACAGTTAAGGATGTGTGCTGTGCTGCTCTTCCTTCAAGACTAAACCTTTTGATGAGATAAATTGTATAGTTAGAGGTGTGTTACTGTCAGACTTTTCCTGCTTCTTTAGAAGGGTGCTCTAAATGTGTGTGGTTTTTTTTAATAAATGAAAAGTGATAGCTGAATATGGTTAGGCACAGTGAATAACTGGAAGAATTAGGCAGCATTAATTTTACTCCTATTGTGTGTTTGTGTCAGCTTGTTACATTTTTGTTCAGGTTTATTATAAAGTCTCCAAATCACTGAATGTTTCTGGCTACTTTTATTTTAGATAAAGGGAAGGCAAGTTGAAAGAATTTAAAACCTTATAAGGTTTGTAAACAGAAGACACTTGAAAGACATTCAGTTACTTCTGAAATATAGCTCCTTCTCCTAATAAAGCCAGTCTGATTTTATATTAGGGATCAGCTCCTGGAGATTTTGTTATGCAGAGGTGGTAGTAACATTTGGACTATGTGGTGTTGTCTGTGATCTTATGGGCCCATTCCTGATGCAGTGTAAGGGTTTGTACAGTTTGCTGTAGTGTGTATTGCTGTCTTTTGCATGACTTGTAACGAATTGGAGAATTTCTTAGTGGTCTCTTCATAGAGAGATAGAAAACAGGAAGTACTTGAGTAAGCTTGAAAATGTTACAAAGGTTGTTCTTATTTCTCATTGGCTGTTGAAGTCTGCTTTCATTCAGCACTTCAAAAAAAATCCATCTTACTTTGCAGCTCTTGAAGTGTCACGGAATAGTTGGCAAAAGCACACTGTCAACTTCTATTTGCATTCATTATGTACTTACTAACTGTTACTTTAATATTTCATTGCTGCTAATTTGATATTGAAATATTTTGGATTCCTGTTAATCATTACTATATATAGATGGAATCCTGAAATCAGTGGAAGATATAGCAGTGTTGTAAAAGTGCCCTCAGCACAGCTTACCTTACTCATCCTCTGACTTCTCAACACAGACATGTTCTCTTAACTAATGATGATAGAGTGCTTAGGAAAGTTAAAATATTTGTGTGTCTAACTTTGCTTATTACAGGCTGTATCAGCTCCTGGAAGGAGGAAGTAAAAAACAACAATTGTTTAAAACATACAAAAACCTGGAGCAGATGGCTCAGAAGTTAAAGCAGGACTGTGCTGCAGTAGAAGATCAGCTGGCAGCATCTGCTCGAGAGCAGTCTCTCCTTTTGTCCAGCCTAGAAGGGGATGTGGATGCCCTTCATGGTGCTCTCTACTGTGGAACAAATCAGATACAGCTCCGCAGTCCTGTAAGCTCCTTAATGGTTTTTTTCAAATTATTGCATTGTGTGTCATGTTCTTTTACCGATAAAAGTATAGTGTGAAGGCTCTAGACATGCAAACTGTCCCCACTAATTAGCAACAAATTTATTAACATAATGATGATGGATGCTGAACATTTACATTGTTCTTGGCTAATGCTGGATTTTTGTAAATGCTGGCAGGTGATAATTTTTTTTGTTTTTGAGCAAACTGTTGAATCTAACTGAATTTCTTTCAAAGGCATGTGCAGTCCTGTATTCCTGTAAGCTTGTGGTGTGGGAGATCCTTTGTCTGGGTAGGGTATCACTGGAAAACTCAATTAAGTTGCTCTTCTTTTCATATTGGCTTTCTCCCCTGTTACCTCTGAGACCCCAATAGTACGGTTTGGCTCCTTAAAAGCCTGGCCATGGGTGGGTCATTTGGACAAAATAAAAATACCAGAATTTTGAAGGGCAGTTGTAGTAGGACAGTCCTGCTACATAGCTCTCAGGTATTATGATTAGAACATCTTTTAAATGGGAACAGGGTTTGTTAAATGCACCTTGTTATGGTTTTTAAATCATTGTAGATACCTCAAAAATGCATCAAGGGAAATCTTGTGTTACATAATACTTCCTTGTTTAATTACATAAAAATATATTTAACATTCATCTGTCAAATGAATTTACAGCATCTAGAACAGTTTTTATTTAAAAATGAGACTGTAATTGGAACAGTATGTATTTAGGGATTGCATTTTTTAAATCAAATACCCTCCTATTGATTTAAGTTACTTCTTAAAATATGACATCTTGTTCTACTGCTACTGTTTCTCAAGAAAAGTAATTCCTTTAATAAGGGAATAATGTGCAAGTAGATGAATAGTCTGCTTATACTGAAGTATCACAAGAATGCCAGCTGGGAAAGTTGTAGCTGGTATTTAATGACTTAATTGTAAAATTGATTTGGCTTTTTGTTGTGCTTTTTTTCTGTTTGTTCCCTTTTAAGGTTTGACTAGCAATGAAGACTTGTAATTGATGGAAAATGTAATTCACTCATGTCTCTAGGTCAGGTTCAGATTCTTGTGGTCTTAACTCATCTGGTCAACAAGTAAATGAAATTACATTAGCATAATACAGGATGAGTTCTGTTACATGGAGCTCAAAAATTACATACATTGAATGGAATCCCTTATTATCTTTGTTTGGTTTTTTGTGATTACTTTTTGATTACAAACAAATTGCTTCCCAGAGCAAAAACCTTTCCTATCTTTCCTATTTCTAGTTCAGCTAGTATATTAACAATAGAAAAGTAACAATTGTTTGTCTTTTATTTTTTAGGAACTTACTGAGCAGTTTCACCAACTGGAAGTGGATTTAGGTGTACTAAATAATCTCCTTAAGGATCTGGTTGCTGATCTGAAGTCAAAGAAAAGCTTTTTAGAGTCCAATAGGCTGCTTCAGATGGAAAGAGAATTGTATGTGTATTTTTTCAAAGATGAAGAGCAGTTGAAAGAGATGGTGGAGAAGCTTGAACAGCAGTCTCAGGCTAAAGCCAGTGGTCTGGAAGACAAGAATTTCACAACCAGTGGAGTTCTTAATGTCTAAACAGCAATGTACTCTTAAGAAAAGAAAATGTTAATGTAAACTGTCTACGAGTTTATGGAATAATAAGCATGAGCTTGTCAAGACTGATACTTAACCTGTCACTGCAGTGAATCTTAACTGCCACTGTTACCAGCTGAGATTGTGTGCTGCTTTAATGGCTTCTTCTGCCTGCTGAATTCAATCTCAGTTTTGTCAGAACTCTTGGATATGAAGTCATTGTTGGTTATTTGAAAGATGACGTTCAGGCTGCTCTTCTGCTGGCCCCTGTGTTCGTTTCTGCTGCACACAGCATAGCTTCAATAGGAATATGTCACACCCTTCAGTTAAGTCTTTTTGCATGCTAAGAACTTTTTGAACTGCAAAATAAATTTGGAGAAAGTATTCCAGATTTTGGAACAAGGATGTAATGTACTCATAGTGACGAGGAGGGATCTCAAAGGCAGCAGATAGTCCATGATTGTTTCCCTCAAAGTTCTTCCAAGAAGACTTGATTTTATTAGAAATGTGTTGGAATATGTACCAGAATCTGTTTTAACTACCAAGACCATCTGTTTTAAGACCATTCCTATATCTCTTAACTTATGGCCCATCTTCTCCATTGAAACCAGTCTATACTTATTGTGGCTTGTCAATGAACAAGAATTTTAAATGTCTTTTGTACTTCTGAATTTGCTTATAATTTATAATGCTAGGCATTTCAATTCAGAGTGCTGATGCTTTCATACTTGTGCTTTCGTGTGCATTGTTAGCCCATTTATCAAATTTTTATGTAGCTTCCTAATATACCAATGGAACTAAATGGGCTTTTATAGTATGATAACTTCCAGTCTTTTATATTTTGATGGGATCAGCTGTGCTTGCTTTCAAGCACTGCACATATTGATGAAGGTTAGTATATTCGTTGAAATTCAGTAACAGTAGTCTTAAAACTATTTTGATGGCACACTTTTAACTTCTATGTGATTATAACTTATTTCGAAATGTGTAATTTTATTTTTTTTTTAGCATTCTGGTTGGGTGTCTTTATGTCTGGATTTCATGCTGCTTAACTCTGTATTTTGTGTATATTATTAAATGCCAAACTCTTATCAATTCAGTTCAGTGTGGTTAATATTTATGGTGAATCTGTGTGGGTTTCTCCAGGCCTGTTCTCAGGCATGGTGTCTTGTTTGTATTTAGTCTGATGGGTTCTCATTTTGATCTGCCCCTGGGGCTGTGACTGCTGCTTCCCAGCCTGAGAAGTCAGGGAGCACTTTAACCCTGTGTAGGAAAGAAGTGTTGCTCTTAGGCATAGAAGTTAGGAGGAGTTGAGTGCAGGGTAGGATTGTGCTTCTGACTGCTGGAATGTCAGGGAAAAGAAAGCCATTCCACCTCTCACCCTTTTCTTCACATGCTTGCTAATTAGAACTAGATGGATATAGCCAGTGCTAATGCAGCGTGATGGGTGTTCCTCTGAATTAGATGCAAATATTTGCACTTTTAAGTATTGAAAGTTGCCATGTACCTGTGGTCTTGAGCCAAGAAAAATATTTCTGTGTAGGCAGAGGAACTTTTTTTTTTGCTGATGGTTAAGTTTGACAGTCTGCTCATGCACTGGATCTAGCGGGAGAAGACCAGAGTAACAGCACTCCAGCTACCCACTTGTATAGGAATAATTGAGTCAACAGCAGGTTTTGGTAGAGTCATTGATTTGTACAGCTTGGATCCTTGAAGTTTTTTTTTTTAATGTTGGATATTTCTCTTGTGTTTGTGTCAAGTTTTACATGTTCTGGTCTAACTGTAAAACAATAAGTCATCAGTGTGGACACCATTACTTGTGATTCTCCAGAGTGTGTGGTACCTAGCGATTCTCCCAAGCATTTTGTAGGTATTACAGAAGATGGACAGGTCAGCTGGAAAACCAGCTCCTTTTCAGAGAAAGATAACATTTACAACAACAGTAGCTGGGGTCAAAGCTTGTAGAGACTATAAATGTTGCTGACCAGTTTCTTAAATTGACAAGCTATAGTAGCTATTTTAAAGTTACCAATATATAGCAGTATTTGAACGCATCATTTATACAAAATTTAAGAAAATAGAGGTCTTTCATGATAATTATTTTCTGAAACAGCATCTAACTAATGGCTGTGTATCGTAGTATTGCTTGTTTCTTTACTCTAGTGTTGCCTTAATTTTGGCAATTACTTGAAAGTTAATTATGTCTTCCCTGATAAAATCTAAGCACTAGTAACAGTACCTGTATGTACCTGCTAGATACAGACTAGGTTGAAGATGCTGGGAGGGGCAAAATATCTCAGACATACATACTTCTTGTTTTATTTGTCAGATTTTGTTTTCTTTTACTACAAGTTAGCTGTACTTAGGACTGCTGATATTTTAATCGGTGTATTAAAACTATTTCCAAGAAGTTTGTTTTTATAAGTTATTATATCTTTATTTCCAATACAGTACTGATAGGCATGTGTGGGAGCAAATGTAATTTTCCATTGAGAATGAATGGCTAAACATGTTCACTATATTTTGTCTTTAATTTCAACAGAATATAAGTGAGGATTACTCATGGCCCTGATTAATTCATAATTTGTGTGTTCTGTGTTTAGGTTTAACCTTAGAAATGGAGCAGTACATAGGATGTGAGATTTCTAAAGTGCCTTTATCTAATATTGCTCAGAGGATTATGACAGCTTTGCAGTCTATTCCTGTAGAAGCTCAGACTAACAGAGAAAATAACCAGAGTGAGTAAAACATAGCCTGTTTGTGTTTTTCTGTTGAAAAATTGAAACACAATATCAAACTTCTAGTCTCTGTTTTTAAATAGAGGAAAAGAAAAGGTGAGACTTCAGGTTTACAGGTTTAGAAAAGGAATTAAACTGTTACTGTGACATTTGTTGGGACTTTTCCAATTCAGTAATGTTATGTGAGTGCAAGGAATGCAACCAATTTAATTTTTTCTCTTTCTGTTCCTGCTATGTGGTACAGAATTATATGGGAATTTCAAACTGTTCCTTAAGTACTACAGTGTTGTAAATTAGATGCATACATTAACTTGACTCTGGACTAGATATTTAAAGATCACTGGAGGTACTAGGAACATAACAGGAAACCTGTGAGCTCTCCAGACTCATGTCTGTCCTTAAAACACACATTAGCAGTGTGCTCCTTGTGAAATTCTAGGGGGAAGAGTGAACAAAAGTCCCAGTGAAAGAACAAGTTAGGTAATGTTATAAGTGCCTCAGCAGACCTAGCACATTGTGGACACTAGGGAGGTTTTGCAAGGTGCAGGTTTTATTCTCAGTTCTGTGTAAGTCACAGTCAGTCAAATTGTGGCTCTGGAAAGAAGTAGAAAGTTAAGAGTTTTGCTTAATTTCTGTTGTCTGTTTTCTCCTGGAAACTAAATCCTGGAATATTATCTGATCAATGGGCTTTAAATCTAACATTTATTCCTGTGTACATCATGGTTTTTGCAGCCACTGTTGTATATTAATTGTGGTTCAGGCTTCTCTTTCATCAGAGTATTGGATCAGTGGAGCCTGGTGGTGTAGCAGTGACAAAGGCAGTAGTTCATCTGTATCAGTATCACTGTGTAAATCAGTGATACACCTTTAAAGAAATGTGGGATGAGTTAATTTTGAGATGTTACATTGTATATGGTGCATCTGGGACCAAAACCCAGATGATTTTAAAGAAAATTCGATTTCATTTTAGCCTCAGTTTGATATTTTACTTCTCTTGCTACCTGGTTATTGCCTATACATATATATTTATATGTATATATACATATACCTTTAGTGTGGGTCTGTAAAAAGAAGTGTATCTCTGTTAAAAAACCAAAACCAACTGCAAACCTCTGATGTTAGTTGGTCTGTTTCAGACTGCATTGAACTGTATTTTATAGATAGATTTTTAAATTTTTTGTTCTATTTAATGGAAAAAATGTTTGTCTTTAGAAGGTAAATATTGGGCTCAAATAGAACAAATATCTGCAATGTTGACCTAGTTGGTGAAATTCTGTGGTTATCCTGGCAGTGGAGCTCCAATCTTTCCATCAAGCCTTGAGGAGGTGGAAGGCAGGGACGGGTTTCTGCTGCCATCTGGTGATGCTTTGTCATAATTCAGAAACTGGAAGTTTCAGATCTCTTCAATACCTGTCATACTGATTGTTGTGTGCTGGAGGAGAGAAATGTAATTCTCATCACCTTCTCTTGGGATTGGATTTGTCAAGGAAAAGTGTCTAGCTGTAAAACAATTAAAACCACTGAATGTAAACTCAGATACTCTCATTCTCAATTTATTATCTCATTGTAGAAAGTGTTGAGAAAACAAAGATAAAATGTTTAAAACTACAAACACAGCTGTGCCATATTGGCTGTTCTAACAGCTTAAGCTAGAAGTTTGAGCTGGAGCTCAATGCCTGATTATACACTTAGATCAACATGCATAAATAAGCTTATCTTATGTAGACAAAGGTCTTGATTTGCCCAGACAAGTGTTTTTAAGAACAGTTCTAGTAAATTGAAATAGGTTACTTTATGCTTTGTTTGACGTTGGTCAACACCATTGTTGTTTCAGAAAGTATCTTGCTGCTGGTAATGCAAATTCATAGCTGACAGCAGCAGTTTAGTGTTGTACTCAGTATGGGGGGACAAAACACATACTCTGCCTGTGAGATGCCTTTTGGCTGAGCAATAAGATAATTGAGACATAAAGGAATCCTAATTGCAAGCTCTGGAGAGACCTGCACTTGAGGGGAGTTCTCTTCTTCCCTGTTCCTCCTTCTGTGCCCGCTGAGATAATTACTGCTAGCCTGTTACCCCTGGCTCCTTCATTCCAGGCTTCACTTGCTTCTCTTCTTCTTGGGACTTGTGGATAGTGTTAAGGCAGAAAAGAAACGTGTCCTAATGGTTTCACTTGTAATGGTGTGAGTCTGAGCTGAATTTGCAAAGCCTTCTTGGAGCTGCAGCATCTGTGCTTTCAGAGCCTGGGCTAAAGGTCTCTGGCAGTTCAGTGGGGGCCCAGACTCCCAGCTGTGCTGTGCTCTGTCAGACCCAGCACTGGAGGCTGGGCTGCTTCTCGTGGGACTGTCACCTTATCTTCCTGTCAGTTTGTCAGGTCTGAAATCTCCTTGCTCTCTCTTACCTGGTTCTTACCTGCCTATTCTGTTGCAAGATGAGCAATGTAAAAAAATTATCCCCTGCAGGTGAAACATGGTCAGTTTGTAAAACATGGTATGCTAAACTCAAATACAAATAATGCTTTATAGAACAAAGGTTTTGTGGAATATTGCTGCCAAATTCCAAGAAAACAGTTAAGCTGTGTAAAGTTTCTAGAGTTTGGATTTTTCTTTTTTTTCCTTCATGCTCATACCCCCAGCTTTACTATGACCAAAATGAGTTGTGTTTCCTTGAAAGAGGGAAATTCACATAATTACAGAATTATAGTAATGATTCCTCTGAATACCATGGAAGAGGCTTTTCTGCTTTGTAGTGAATTTTAAGTAATTTTTTTCTTAATGGTGACAGAACGGTCTTTTGCACATGCATATTTTGGAATGTGCAGGGTCCTTTTAAGCATGAATACTAATTTGGTACTAACTTGATAAATGGTTGTCAAGGGAAATTTTTTTACAATTCTTTCAGGTTTGGTAAAAGTCTCAGTGATATAACCCTATATGAAACCTAAGTTATATGGGCTGCTTGCAGATTCATTTGCATTGTAAATTGTTTCTTCTTTTTTCAAGGTACAGAGAAGACAAAGGAAAATAAACTAGGTGATAAGGATGCACATCTGAGAAATGAAAAGGCAAGCATTTTGTAAGATTGAAAACCACTAAAAGCAGTCTTTTTGTGGCAGTCTTGAAGTTATAGATTGATTCTTTCATGGAAAGCTTTATCATGATACATTTTATACAGTCATAGTTCAGATTACTTCCTCTGCCTTATTTTACACTTGGCCTGTATTTACCTGTGAGAGTCTGGGCCCAGCTTCTGTTCCCTTTTCACAGGAAGTTGGTCTTCTATGACAGACTGATCAGAAATGAGGTTGCCACATGCAGACAGTCACCAGAGTT